TATGGTGTAGTTGGAATATGTAGCCTGCTCAAGTGCTCCAAAGTGGGACACGGACGCATCAAAACCCTCTATGAAAATTCACACTTAAAAACCTGAACTTGTCACGTCTTTTACAGCACTGTAACTTCACAAAATAGTGTCTAGGTCATACGTTGGGCATATTGTTTTACTCAGAAGATGTAACTGAGCATAATTTGGGGGATTTTTTGACAGTGGTACATATCAAGTGTAAGAAATACTCAAAGAAAAATGCAACATGTATGATGCAAATTGCATTTGAACACAAACAGCAAAAAATGCAAAAATGGCTTGTGTCCTTAAGGGTAGGTCCAGTTTTTGAAGCTGCATCCTTAAGGGGTTAATGTACGGTATACAGCTTAATGTACAATATACAGCTTACTGTACGGTATACATCTTAATATATAGTATAAGGCTTAATGTACCTTATACAGCTTACTGTACGGCAAGCATGTCAAAATTGGGGCCACAAGGACAGAGTAGGCACCTGCTTTCCCTATATTGCAGGTGCCTACTCTGCTAACATTGACCCGGCCGGGGAGGAGAGGATGCTGGCGGCTGGCGAGGGAGCTCAGTGTTCCTGCTCCTCACTGCTCCCTCGTGCACGCCGACTGAAGTGAAGCTGGGCGCCGGAATATGACGTCATATTCCGGCACCTGGCATCACTACACCGCAAGAGGGAGCAGTGAGATGCCCCCCATCGGCTCCATAAGGTAGGGAGCAATAATGAAAAGTATGTGTGTGTGTGTGAGTTTGTCTGTCAGTGTGTGTGTGTCAGTGTGTGTATGTGTCTGTCAGTATGTATGTGCCTCTCAGTGTATCTGTAAGCGAGTATGTGTGTGTGTCTGTCAGCGAGTATGTGTGTGTGTCTGTCAGCGAGTATGTGTGTGTGTCTGTCAGCGAGTATGTGTGTTTGTCTGTCAGCGAGTATGTGTGTTTGTCTATCAGCGAGTGTGTGTGTTTGTCTATCAGCGAGTGTGTGTGTGTGTGCGGTGTGTGTCTGTCAGTGAGTGTGTGTGTGTGCGGTGTGTGTCTGTCAGTGAGTGTGTGTCAGAGAGTGTGTGTCTGTCTGTCAGTGAGTGTGTGTGCGGCCCACGCCACACTTTGAGTTTGACATGCTTGCTGTACGGTATACAGCTTAATGTACAATATACAGCTTACTGTACGGTATACGGCTTAATATATAGTATACGGCTTAATGTACAATATACAGCTTACTGTACGGTATACGGCTTAATATATAGTATACGGCTTAATGTACAATATACAGCTTACTGTACGGCATACAGCCTAATATTGTCAGGATTACTAGTTGATCCAGCACATGGAATTGTGTCACACAGATGACTAATAGGTAACGTATTACCGGGCCTTAGAATGGCCAGACTTAACGTACCAAAGAACAATCAGGATACTTGCCGAGGTCAAGGGAAACAGAAAGAGACACAACGATAAGGGAAAGCCAGAAGTCAGGGATGCCAGAAAACAGGGAAGTCAAAATCAAAGCCAAAAACGAGCTCTCGGACAACCACAAGGGAGACCACGACAGGGCACTGAGCAGAATGAGAACTCGGCCTAAATACCCCTCCTCTAGATCTGATAGGCTGTAACCGGCCTTTGACCCCAAAGGCAGTTACCGGGTTTCCATTTGCATAATTGCTGCTCAGCATTAACCCTTCTGTGGATTAGGTTGTTGCTCGGCACAACTTTTCCTGTGTGGACAGTAAATGCCATTAACCACATCTTTATAAGCGGATGAATACGTGACAAATATATAGTATACGGCTTAATGTAATGATTCTGGTGTGTATTGTATGTCCCTGCAAATAATGTATCTCCATAAAAGTAAAGCACTCATGAATGTATGAAAAAGTACAAATACCTAATAATGCAGACTGTATAAGATCGTTGAAACAATGACCCAAAAAAACGGGAAGTGCAAAAAAATTTAAAAATACATTAGAAAAATATGGAAATAAATCTAAATTAACTTCAATAGTTGGATATCTTCATAAATCCCAAATAGACAAACTTTAATCACCACAGGAGGCCAAAAGGATGTAAAGATATGATATTCTTGTGTTTATTAAAAATATAAAAAAGGATTTAAAACCATAAAAATAGGTAAATATTAATAAGGCGGCCGAGGACCACAGAAGACAAGCGGCCGGACTACGAGCCCACTATTGGGCATAAAACAATGTCCAAATAACGTCAAGACTGGACTGAATCAATGAAAGTATACCCGCAGAGTCCTTCAGATCAGATGCCGTGTTCCACGTGGCTCATTAGCAATATTCCGACTCTAATGCCCACCGACACGTTTCACATACATAGCGTCTTCAGATTGCGAATATTCATAATGACCTCCTATACAGGAATATTCACAATGACCTCCTGTACAGGAACAAAGCCCTTCCCACAAGAAAAAAAAAACATAATATATGGCATATTAAAAAAAAAAAAAACCCATGTAAATAGAAAACTAATACTGGCACATTCTTCAGATAATAGCCCACAAAAAAAGAATATACATAGAAAGAAAAATAATGCACCGCCTAATTGGATATATTTTATATATAGATATTTTTAAGTCCATATAATTAATCCATGTGTTTTACTGGTGGACTGGACATGAAAGGTTGTTCCCGGGGTTTTATTTCTGTATTTATTGTGCTGGCGTTTTATTTTTGGCATTATTTTCAAATATATATTTATTTTTTTATAAATTATTTATATTAATATTAATTTTCTCCTGGCATTTTTTTGTGGCAGACACAAGGCTGAAGAACGTGCCAAAAGTAATTTTCTATTTATGAACATGTATATTTGTCTATGTTTTTATAAGCTACTTATTGTCTTTCTTTTGGGAAGGGCTTCGTTACGAGAGTGTATATATTAATCTACAGGAAGCTAAGAATCTGAAGAAGGTACATAAGTGAAACGTGTCATTGGTGGAGTTTTGCTGATTAGCCTTTTGATATTATACAGTCTGCACTATTATGTATTTGTGCATTTTCATACATTCATGGGTGCTTTACTCTGATAAATACACATTATTTGTCTTTGCCCCATTAAAGGGACCCAGATCACTTCAGCTTATTGAAGTGGCCTGGGTGCAGTGTCCCAGCCCCCTCAACCCTGTAATGGTAATTATTGCAGTTATTGAGAAACAATTGCATGGTTAACTCCACCTCTAGTGGCTCTCTACTAGACAGCCACTAGAGGGACTTATGGGTTGTTAGGCGACTTTTGGTTGCCTGACGCTGGTCATCCTCCGGCTCTGCATTAGGACATCCAGCGTCAGCTAAAACCCTGTAAGAAAGCATTAATTTATTGATTTCCTATGGGGTTACATAGTTGTTATGGTGCAGCACTTGCCGCGCATGCACATTAGGTCCCTAACATTGGCCGACATCAGGGGAGGGACGTCAGCGCTGGATTCTGGTAAGTGAATTAAAGTGTTTAAACCTTTCTGTGCTGGGGGGTGGGTGCACTATAGTGCTAGGAATACAATTTTGGATTCCTAGCCTATAGTTTCCCTGTAAGCGCACCCTCCTTAATGTTTGAGATTTCTTTTAACATTAGATGGTTCCTTTGAGTCTTGGCATTGCCATAAAACGGATTAAACTCAGAGCACAGAAATCCGCTTTAATACGAATTGCTGAAGTCCCCAGCGTTTTCCCAGACTCATAACGATAGGCAGTAAATGGAGAGTCCTGCCCTGCAGTATGTAGAAATCAGTGAGGTACATGCATCCTACAAATTGCAGAGCCGCACATGTGCTAAGTGTGTCTGGAAAAACATGGCAGACCCAGGATTCGCAGTGTATTAAGGATACGAAATAACAGTAAATCTGAAATTAGCCCTACCCCAGGGCATGTGATATCCAGGCAGATATCAGAGCTGGGGCCTGGAAATGAATAACTCCGGTTAATAACAGAAATAGATTCCTAACTTAGTAACAGACTGTCAGCTCTTGGGATCAGCTCTCTGAAAACTTAAATAGTCATTAACGGGGTATTATGCACAGGTGTCCCTGCCCCCTCAACCCTGTGAAACATATTCACCCTCTGCCTTGTCCTCCTTTCTGTAACAATATGCCAGGAGGGCAAGAGCAAGTGCAGGACCACCATCCAGCCAAGTGTGGCTACCAGCCTGCTGGTGTCTGTCTCTCGGGCTCCCCCCAGTGGTAGAATGCAGGTAGTTCGGTCTGTGGTTCTCAGCCTGCTGGTGTCTGTCTCTCGGGCTCCCCCCAGTGGTAGAATGCAGGTAGTTCGGTCTGTGGTTCTCAGCCTGCTGGTGTCTGTCTCTCGGGCTCCCCCCAGTGGTAGAATGCAGGTAGTTCGGTCTGTGGTTCTCAGCCTGCTGGTGTCTGTCTCTCGGGCTCCCCCCAGTGGCAGCATGCAGGTAGTGCAGCGGTTTGTCTCTCGGGCTCCCCCCAGTGTCCGCTCGCGGGTACTGCAGGCCGAGCGCAGCATGTCCCCCCGCGGCTGCCGAGCGAGGTATTCCCGGACACCGTGCGGTACCGCCGTGGGGCCGCCCTGACCGACACACAATGAGCCGGCCGACACCGGACACCCGCGCCCGCCACATGAGCCGCTCACCAGAGGCCGCACACAGGACAACCAAGATGGCGACCGTCTGTCAGCTTCCCCGGCCTGTCACTGAGCGGAGCCGCGCCGCGATGGCTCACGGGAGATGTAGTCTACAATCACAGGATGGGGCGACGGTCTAGCGCTGGTAAACTACACTCCCCGACATGCTTTGCGAGACGCAGCCTCGGCCTGTGCAATGCTTGCCGGGAATTGTAGTTTAGTGACTGTCACACACTGTATATTGCAGGATTATTACAGCATTGTATCTGGTTATAATGTCACAGGGTCTCATTAAAGGGACACTATAGTCACCTGAACAACTTTAGCTTAATGAAGCAGTTTTGGTGTATAGAACATGCCGCTGCAGCCTCACTGCTCAATCCTCTGCCATTTAGGAGTTAAATCCCTTTGTTTATGAACCCTAGTCACACCTCCCTGTATGTGACTTGCACAGCCTTCCATAAACACTTCCTGTAAAGAGAGCCCTATTTAGGCTTTCTTTATTGCAAGTTCTGTTTAATTAAAATTTTCTTATCCCCTGCTATGTTAATAGCTTGCTAGACCCTGCAAGAGCCTCCTGTATGTGATTAAAGTTCAATTTAGAGATTGAGATACAATTATTTAAAGGACCACTATAGTGCCAGGAAAACATACTCGTTTTCCTGGCACTATAGTGCCCTGAGGGTGCCCCCACCCTCAGGGTCCCCCTCCCGCCCGGCTCTGGAAGGGGGAAATGGGTTAAACTTACCTTTTTCCAGTGCTGGGCGGGAGCTCTCTGCCTCCTCTCCTCCTCCGATCCGCCCTGTCGCCTGAATGGCAAGCGCGCATTCAGCCGGTCGCATAGGAAAGCATTTACAATGCTTTCCTATGGACGCTGGCGTGCTCTCACTGTGAAAAATCACAGTGAGAAGTTATCTAGCTTTTAGTGGCTGTCAATGAGACAGCCACTAGAGGGAATGTGGGGAAGGTTTAACCTATTATAAACATAGCAGTTTCTCTGAAACTGCTATGTTTATGAAAAATGGGTTAACCCTAGTTGGATTTGGTAATCTGACCACTTCATTAAGCTGAAGTGGTCTGGGTGCCTAGAGGCCCTTTAAGGTAAATTACATCTGTTTGAAAGTGAAACCAGTTTTTTCATGCAGGCTCTGTCAATCATAGCCAGGGGAGGTGTGGCTAGGGCTGCATAAACAGAAACAAAGTGATTTAACTCCTAAATGACAGTGAATTGAGCAGTGAGATTGCAGGGGAATGATCTATACACTAAAACTGCTTTATTTAGCTATAGTGTTCCTTTAATGTATTTTAATCAATGAAGGATTAATAAAATAACGATGGAATTCGCAGCTCGGTCACCAATAACCAAAAATAACAAATTCACTAAAGTCAGCGTTACTGAGAATTAAACGTAAATTCACTCTTATTATTATTATTATTATTATTATTATTATTATTATTATTATTATTATATTATTATTATTTTATTATTATTATTATATTATTAATATTATTATTATTATTATATTATTATTATTATATTATTATTATTATTATCTTATTATATTATTGTAATTAGTATTATATTTATTATTATATTATATTATTATTATATTATTATTATTATCATCATCATTATTATTATTATTATGTTATTATTTATATAGCGCCAAAGGCGAGAACGGCCAAACTGCCGCCGAGTTTAGCTTTAGTTTGAAATTCACTTGAATTCTCACGAATAGTGAATAAGAATTTCTCCAATTTCACTATTTTTGGGGTAAACGTTGAGCAATTCTCACTACAGTGAATAACCAGGTATACGAATAAACGTCTGCTGTCCGCTGTCCGCTGTCCGCTGTCCGCTGTGGAATTAATATTTCCTTGCGCTGTAGTAACACTATATATGTTTATATTTACAGTTTACAGTGACACAAAGTATTAGCGGCCATTTTAGCCAGTTGTATAGGGTTGTATTTTTTTCCACATATTCATACCTCCCAACTCCGGTGTCCGGGCTATGGCTGTTGGGGACATACTCGGTTTACATTGGGACGGTGGGTCAGGACCCGAAGATTGGTCCGAATCTGAGCGGATGCGTATGTTATATTGTACACTCAAAACCCCACAATGACAAAGCAAAAAACAGATTGTTGACACCGTGGCAATTATATTAAACAGATAAATATCACATTGACATAACTATTAAGACCCTTAACTCAGTACTTAGTTGAAGAACCTTTGCCAGCGATTGCAGCCTCAAGTCTTTTTGGGTATTATACAACAAGCTTTGCACACCTGGCTAAGAATAGTGTATCATACAACACGCTTTGCACACCTGGGTTTGAATAGTGTATCATACAACACGCTTTGCATTCCTGGATTTGAATAGTGTATCATACAACACGCTTTGCATTCCTGGATTTGAATAGTGTATCATACAACACGCTTTGCACACCTTGATTTGAATAGTGTATCATACAACAAGCTTTGCACACCTTGCTTTGAATAGTGTATCATACAACACGCTTTGCACACCTGGCTTTGAATAGTGTATCATACAACAAGCTTTGCACACCTGGGTTTGAATAGTGTATCATACAACAAGCTTTGCACACCTGGATTTGAATAGTGTATCATACACACGCTTTGCACACCTGGCTTTGAATAGTGTATCATACAACACGCTTTGCACACCTGGCTTTGAATAGTGTATCATACAACACGCTTTGCACACCTTGATTTGAATAGTGTATCATACAACACGCTTTGCACACCTGGATTTGAATAGTGTATCATACAACACGCTTTGCATACCTGGGTTTGAATAGTGTATCATACAACACGCTTTGCACACCTGAATAGTGTATCATACAACACACCTGGCTTTGAATAGTGTATCATACAACAAGCTTTGCACACCTGGGTTTGAATAGTGTATCATACAACAAGCTTTGCACACCTGGGTTTGAATAGTGTATCATACAACACGCTTTGCACACCTGGCTTTGAATAGTGTATCATACAACACGCTTTGCACACCTGGCTTTGAATAGTGTATCATACAACACGCTTTGCACACCTGGCTTTGAATAGTGTATCATACAACAAGCTTTGCACACCTGGGTTTGAATAGTGTATCATACAACAAGCTTTGCACACCTGGGTTTGAATAGTGTATCATACAACAAGCTTTGCACACCTGGGTTTGAATAGTGTATCATACAACACGCTTTGGGTTTGAATAGTGTATCATACAACACGCGCTTTGAATAGTGCAACACCTGACCTGGCTTTGAATAGTGTATCATACAACACGCTTTGCACACCTTGATTTGAATAGTGTATCATACAACAAGCTTTGCACACCTGATTTGAATAGTGTATCATACAACACGCTTTGCATACCTGGGTTTGAATAGTGTATCATACAACAAGCTTTGCGCTTTGCATACCTGGGTTTGAATAGTGTATAGTGTATCATACAACAGCTTTGCACACCTGGGTTTGAATAGTGTATCATACAACAAGCTTTGCACACCTGGATTTGAATAGTGTATCATACAACAAGCTTTGCACACCTGGGTTTGAATACTGTATCATACAACAAGCTTTGCACACCTGGGTTTGAATACTGTATCATACAACAAGCTTTGCACACCTGGGTTTGAATAGTGTATCATACAACACGCTTTGCACACCTGGGTTTGAATAGTGTATCATACAACACGCTTTGCACACCTTGATTTGAATAGTGTATCATACAACACGCTTTGCACACCTGGGTTTGAAGAGTATATTATACAACAAGCTTTGCACACCTGGGTTTGAATAATGTATCATACAACAAGCTTTGCACACCTGGCTTTGAATAGTGTATCATACAACAATGCACACCTGGCTTTGAATAGTGTATCATACAACAAGCTTTGCACACCTGGGTTTGAATAGTGTATCATACAACAAGCTTTGCACACCTGGCTTTGAATAGTGTATCATACAACACGCTTTGCATACCTGGGTTTGAATAGTGTATCATACAACACGCTTTGACCTGGATTTGAATAGTGTATCATGCAACAGCGGGTTTGAATAGTGTATCATACAACACGCTTTGCATACCTGGGTTTGAATAGTGTATCACAACCTTGATTTGAATAGTGTATCATACAACACGCTTTGCACACCTGGCTTTGAATAGTGTATCATACAACAAGCTTTGCACACCTGGATTTGAATAGTGTATCATACAACACGCTTTGCACACCTGGCTTTGAATAGTGTATCATACAACAAGCTTTGCACACCTGGGTTTGAATAGTGTATCATACAACACGCTTGCATACCTGGGTTTGAATAGTGTATCATACAACACGCTTTGCACACCTTGATTTGAATAGTGTATCATACAACATGCTTTGCACACCTGGGTTTGAATAGTGTATCATACAACAAGCTTTGCACACCTGGATTTGAATAGTGTATCATACAACACGCTTTGCACACCTGGCTTTGAATAGTGTATCATACAACAAGCTTTGCACACCTGGGTTTGAATAGTGTATCATACAACACGCTTTGCATACCTGGGTTTGAATAGTGTATCATACAACACGCTTTGCACACCTTGATTTGAATAGTGTATCATACAACACGCTTTGCACACCTGGCTTTGAATAGTGTATCATACAACAAGCTTTGCACACCTGGCTTTGAATAGTGTATCATACAACACGCTTTGCACACCTGGGTTTGAATAGTGTATCATACAACACGCTTTGCACACCTGGGTTTGAATAGTGTATCATACAACACGCTTTGCACACCTGGCTTTGAATAGTGTATCATACAACAAGCTTTGCATACCTGGGTTTGAATAGTGTATCATACAACACGCTTTGCACACCTGGGTTTGAATAGTGTATCATACAACACGCTTTGCACACCTGGGTTTGAATAGTGTATCATACAACACGCTTTGCAAACCTGGATTTGAATAGTGTATCATACAACAAGCTTTGCACACCTGGCTTTGAAAAGTGTGTCATACAACACGCTTTGCATACCTGGTTTTGAATAGTGTATCATACAACAAGCTTTGCACACCTGGCTTTGAAAAGTGTATCATACAACACGCTTTGCACACCTTGATTTGAATAGTGTATCATACGACACGCTTTGCATACCTGGATTTGAATAGTGTATCATACAACATGCTTTGCACACCTTGATTTGAATAGTGTATCATACGACACGCTTTGCACACCTGGATTTGAATAGTGTATCATACAACACGCTTTGCACACCTGGATTTGAATAGTGTATCATACAACACGCTTTGCACACCTTGATTTGAATAGTGTATCATACAACACGCTTTGCACACCTGGATTTGAATAGTGTATCATACAACACGCTTTGCACACCTGGATTTGAATAGTGTATCATACAACATGCTTTGCACACCTTGATTTGAATAGTGTATCATACAACAAGCTTTGCACACCTGGCTTTGAATAGTGTATCATACAACAAGCTTTGCACACCTGGCTTTGAATAGTGTATCATACAATAAGCTTTGCACACCTGGGTTTGAATAGTGTATCATACAACACGTTTTGCATTACTGGATTTGAATAGTGTATCATACAACAAGCTTTGCATACCTGGATTTGAATAGTGTATCATAAAACACGCTTTGCACACCTGGCTTTGAATAGTGTATCATACAACAAGCTTTGCACACCTGGCTTTGAATAG